TGGGCTTCCCTGCCCCGGGCCCCGGGGCCCTCGAAGATCCGTCCGGGACAGGGGTGCCGGCTCGGGCGAGCCCCGCGAGGGGCCCGGGGTGGCTTTCCCAGGGCAAGAATTTCTCCCAGGGCAATATTTTCGGCGCCCCGGGGCTGCAGTCCACGACCGCTTCAGGGACATTTAGATTTTGGGGGTGCAGGACCTCGCAAAGCGTCCTCCCTCGAGCCTCGACCCTTTGGCCTCGGATGCCGCGTGGGCACCAGGACCGTGCAAAAACGCCTCGGGAGGGGGTGAGGTTGGGGAGGAGAGGGGGCAGGGGAGGAAGGAGGGACGAGGAGAGGGAGGGAAAGATGGATGGAGAGCCTCCCCTCGCCCCGCGGCGCCGGCAGGGGCGCCGGAGCCTCGTCGGCGGATCCTCGTCGGCGGAGTCCTGCATTCGAGCTGCGCCTTCGTCGCGTCCTGGCCGTTGTCCCAGAGCCGAATTTGAGGGTCGTGGCCCTCGGGGACCTCTTCGTCGTCGGCGAGACGCAGCTCGGACCAAACAGATTGCGCTTGGGAATCGTAGGGGTCCGGGGCGATTTCGGGAGGGACTTCGACGAATTTGCAGCTACCGGACGCGGGGGAGGAATGACGACAGTGTATTGTTTCGGGGGTCGGCCTTTCTTTTCAAGTTTATTTTCGCCCGGCTGCGGGTGGGAGGGGTTCCGCGTCGCTCCCTCCGTGTGCTCTGTCGCGGTCCGGGGCGTTCGGAGGGGCTTCAAGAGGGCTCCGAGAGGTCCCAAGAGGGGCCCAAGATGGCACCAAGAGGGTTCCAAAGCAAGATACACGAAAGCTTTCCGTGTATCTTGCTTTGGGGCCCTCTTGGAGCCGTCTTGGGGCCCTCTTGGGACACTCGAGGGTTTTGGAGGGGCCCAAGAAGGCCCCGTTGGGCCCTCTTGGGGCCCTCTTGGGGCTTCCCGACGCCTTCGGAGGGGCCTCAAGAGGGCTCCGAGGGGTCCCAACAGGGCCCGTAGAGGGCACCAAGAGGGCCCCAAAGCAAGATACACGAAAGCTTTCCGTGTATCTTGCTTTGGGGCCCTCTTGGAGCGCGACGTCATGCGGTCATACGAATCTCTGCTGGCATTGGGCGCTTTCGGCGGATGGGCCCCGATGGCGGCGACGCACAGGGAAACCGCGTCGCTTTTTTTTTTTTTTTTTTTTTTTATTTTGTTTTTTTTTTGTTTTTTTTTTTTTTTTTTTTTTTTTTTTTTGTTTTTTTTCTTTTTTTTTTTTTTTTTATTTTTTTTTTTTTTTTTTTTTTTTGTTTTTTTTTTTTTTTTTATTTTGTTTTTTTTTTTTTTTGTTGTTTTTTTTTTTGTTTTTATTTTCTATTTTTTTTTTTTTTTTTTTTTTTTTTTTTTTTTTTCCTTTTTTTTTTTTTTTTGTTTTTTTTTTTTTTTTTTTTTTTTTTTTTTTCGTTATTGTTTTTTTTATTTTTTTTTTTTTTTTTTTTATTTTTTTTTTTTTTTTTTTTTTTTTTTTTTTTTTTGTTTTTTTTAGACCTCTTGCCTCTCTGCACCTGGGACCTCCCTTCCCCGTCGCCGTCGCCGCCGTGTCGTCGGGCCGTTGCCGCCGTCTGCCGTTGCCGCCGTGTCGTGTCGCGTATCCGCATGAGCTTCAACTAGATAGATTGGCACTGTGGGCCATCATATCTTGGGTCGTTGCGTGAGGCTGCGTTGCATAAGTGGCCGATGAGGCAATATGGAGATTGATGCGCGCACTGACACATCACATTTTCGTCTTATTCGAAGAAAGCGTGCTTATCTTCCTCCTCGTGCAACTGTGCTTGCAATTTCATGTTCTGCATTGCAATGGCATTACATTGCATGGCAATCTCATTGCATTGCATTGCTTTGATTTGCAATCGCCTCGCATTGCATTGCATTGATTGGCATAGGTTGCAAATGTGTTGCGTTAGTTGTGACGCGGGTTGTACGTTCTTGCTGTCCGCACGTGCAGGCCATCACCGATTCTGAGGTGTCCCTTTTCGCGGGTGCGCTGCTCGGAACGGAGGGCGGATCCGTCATCGTCTGGGCTCAAGCGGCTCCAACGCGGCTGAGGGTTCGCTCGCCGCGGCAGCTTTCGCTCGAGGTTGGACTGCGCCCAGCGCGCGTCTATGGGGCGGTGCAAATGCCCCGGGGGCGCGGAGTGCAAGAACGAGTTCCAGCATGCTCCGTATCTACAGGCCTTCGGCCTTTGACGCCTGAGTGCCTGGCAGGCCTCTCCGGGTGCTCATGTTTCTCTCGTGTTTCTCGGGGGGCTCCTGGGCCTTCTTGTCCCTGCGGGGCCTCTTGGTGTCCACTCGGGGCTTCCTGGAATTCTGGGTGGGTTCTCTTGGCGGGGATGTCGCGGATTCCGGTTCGTGTTCCCCTCTTTGGGTTCTCTCGGGGCGAAGGGTATGAATTAAAATATCTGTCCAATGCTACTTCGTGCCACAGGGCCACGATGTCGGATTGTGTTGGACGAGGAGGGGGAGGCTGCACTGGCTCTGCAAACCAGAGCCACGGAGAGAAATCTTGGTGCGGTCCCTGCCAGGGGAAGCGCCACGGGGTCCACAGCAAGCGCCTGCTAGCGCCAGCTGGAGATGCCGCCGGGGACGTCGGCGCCCAAGCCACCAGCACCGCCAGGGCCTCGGCCAACGAGCCTGGCAGCGCCGCAGCCGCCGCCTCCGCCAGCACCTGCCGCCCTTACGCCAGCACCAGCAACAGCAAGAAACAGTACCTGGCGCAACCCCTCCTGCCGGAAGAGAGGGACGCGCGGCTGGCGATCCTCAAGGCGGAGCGGGTGCGATTATCAAAGGAGTTACTAGCCATTCGTGAAGAGGAGCGCAGTTTGGTCGACAGCGCCTTCAACGCCGGGGGTGACGACGCAGATGATGGTGAGGCTCCCGCAGTGGATTCCGAAGACGAAGTTCGTATTGCCGCGGCCACTCCCGCCAGGTCGACCGCAGCTGACCTCATGTTGTCATGCAGCGGCCGCGTAGAGGACTTTCTCAGATTTGTTGATGCACGCGAGCAGCTGCGGACGCGCATAGCGGCGGGCGTGCCCGCCGAGGAGTTGTACGTCGGTTTTGACCCGGTGATCGTTCGTCTCTTCCAGGAAAAGCAATTGCACAACGTCTCGAGGAATGTTGACCCTGTAACGCTGGGGCTCAAGGCGGCGGCCATCAGCTTCATTGGTGGCGGCGCTGCGCCGAGGGGGGTCCCTCCGGCGGCGCCCGACCCTGTAACGCTGGCACCCGCGAGCTTGGGGCGGCCATGTATTCTCATGATCGCCATCTGGCGGGTGGTGGCAGGCACGTTGCCATTTGCGCTGGCCCTGGGCCCTCTTTACACTTGGACGCCTCTCGAGACATCTCGCGTGCAAGCTTTGGCGCGTTTGGTTTGGGCTAAGGGTAAGGAGTGCGTGGACTGTTTCTTTTCGAATGCGTATTCTGCGCCCCGCGTTCTGCGGAACGGTCTTTTGGATGCGTCTCAAACTCAGATGGAGAGAATCATTTGGCCTTCGGCCGCCCTCAGAGAGGCCCAGCCCGGTTTCTGGCGGCAAAATACATTGATCGGCAGATTTGAAACGATGGACTGATTGGAGCTCTTATCTCGGAGATTCTCGACGGAGGTCGCAGGAGGTAAGGCGATCTCTGACGAATGCCCTCGCTGAGGCGGATCATTGCGGCATGTGGGAAAACGGGCGGCGCCTGCCGGGTTTCTTCGCCAAAGAATTGGGAGAGGGTGCGCTGGATATCCCGGGCCTCATCGTCCCTTGCCTGGATGATGTACGGGATCTGAATGATTTTTGCCCTGCAGGGCCGGGTGCTCTGCAGGGCCTGGAATGCATATTTCAATGCGGCTCTATGACGCAAGAGGAGGCGAACGCATTGATGAGGGCTCTTTGGCATGAGCTGCGCGGTCGCTGGAGACATGCGCAGCCCATTCGACTGCATGATATACAGTTCATGCTCTGCGCGCATAATCGCACCGTGCGGAACACTGCGAGGAATAGGAGAGAGCGGACTGCATTCCAGCGCATGATGGGCCAATGGGTTGCGGAAGCATGCGCAGCTCTAGAAGGCGGCGCGCCCTTTGGCGTAGTGAGCGCGCAGTTCGTGGCGCGGCTGCAATCCCTGCCCGACGTCCGTTGATCCGCTTGTGCCGCCAGGACAAATGCGCCCGGCCCCCGGGCTCGGCGCCGCGGCGCTGCGTCGAGGGGGGTCCCTCCGGCGGCGCCCGCGGCGCCGAGCCCCATCGGGTCTGGGGGCCGACGCTTTTGCACCGCACATGGCAGCGCCGAGGTGCCCGTGAGACCCGGGCTCGGCGCCGCGGCGCTGCGTCGAGGGGGGCCCCTCCGGCGGCGCCCGCGGCGCCGAGCCCCATCGGGTCTGGGGGCCGACGTTGTGCCGCCAGGACAAATGCGCCCGGCCCCCGGGCTCGGCGCCGCGGCGCTGCGTCAAGGCGAGAAAGCAAACATCATCACTTTTCCTTAGGTGTGTGAAGGATTTGGGCCTCTTTGAGGTCTCCTTGGGAAGCGATTGCGGTAGCGACGACCGTGCCTAACGCCTGTGTGACATCTGCGTGCTCGGGTACAGGCGATACCAGCAGGGCGCCAGAAGCTCCGCTGGAGGTCCTTTTGGAGCTCTTTTGGGCCCTCTTGTGCCGATCTGGGGCCCTCTTGGGCCGTTTCGGCTCCCTTCCCGCCTTTGGGCCCTCTGGGGGCCCTCTTGGGGCCCTCCTGGGGGCCTTTTGTGGCCCTCTTGGGGCTCTCTTGGGAAGCTTTCGGGATCCTCTGGGGCCCTGTTTGGGCCGGCTTGAGACTCTCTTGGGCCGTCTTGGAGCCCTTTTGGGCCGTCTTGGGGCGCTCATGGGGCTCACTGTCGCCACTGAAGTGCCGAGACCTGCGTGTAGCCAGAGGATCGTTCTTTTGAGCCGTCGTGGGATCGCATTTGCATTCGTGCTTTTTGGCTCGATTTCGCTGTCATGCTGGCCGCGCCGGGCCGTGTTTGCTGGCGTTCTGCAGTCTGGTGCTGCGGCGCCCCGTCGTGGAGGGCCTCGTTGGCCGTGCCCCGCCGGGCCCGGACCTCGCCCCGGCCGCTCCAGCGCGCCATGACCGACCAGGGGGCCCCGTACGGGAGAACCGTCGCGGGAGAGGCTTTCGCTGCAGCCGGGTGCCAAAAACCATCCGATGTGTTGTCTCGCGTGCTACAGGCCCCGGGCCGCTCGATCGTTTTGCCGGTTCTCCACGCGGATGTTGTCGTGTCTCCTGCTCACTCGTTGCATACGTATTTGCAGCAGCTGCGGGCGGTGATCCGCACTGTCGAAGTGGCCAAGCCACAGGCACAAGGTGCTATGCGTGCGTTCTACGTTCTGCCTGAGACAGCACCGGTCCCCGCCTTGAAAATGGCTCTTGGTCTCGGCGGCCGTGTGTTGGAGGTTCCAGATGCGGTTGAGGAGCGATGTCGCGCGCTTCCCCGAAGCGTAGCTGGCGGCAACATCAAGGAATGGTACTTACAGTCGCGGCGGAGCTACCAGGAGTTGGTCCGCCTCGGTTTGGCTCCCAGGTTCTACGGTTTGGTGATATACGTGGTGAAGGCCTTGCCTCAGACTGTTCACAGACTGTATCAGGGCACGGCGGCCCCGCTGACGGTGCATTCTTCCGCTGTTCCTGCAGGATGCTACGACTTCCCGAGCTTCGTCGCGGCGTACTTTCACTTGGATATCGGCTCCGCCATGGACGCGATGTTCCCGCCTCCCGCTGCTGAAGCGGCGGTGCACTCCCAGGCCGCCCATTATTGGGCCGTCTGGTGTCAGTATTCGTTTTACGGAGACAGCATTGTGACAGTGCTGGGAGTGCAGGACGTCAACGGGACACCCGTGGCGTCCCTGCCGTGGTTGCTGGACTCTCCATGGGCCAGGGAGCACTGCCGTCAGGAGGAGTGGGTCTCCGCGCCGGAGCTCGGGTGGATCTTCCTGACGTTGCTGATACGCGTCATTTTCCTGGCGAGCGTCGTTCACGAGGAGTTCCTCTTGGGGGACGTGCACGGCGGAAATCTCTGCGTCACCGTCCACAGTGAGGCCCGCCTGACGGAGTTGAAGCCCGTTTGGATCGACTTCGGCGGGTCCCTGCTGTACGCCGAGGCTCCGCGCGGTCCGGGGGGGGCGCCTGGGAGAGGGCGCTGGCTCGCGCGTCGGCTAGGCACGCCTGAGCCCGCGCCCCTCCGAGGCGCTGCCCCGCGAGGCCGCGTCGTCAGGTTGCGACGCTCCAGCTGGCATGGCGGGCCTTCGACTTGGGCGCCCAGGTCGACGCGGGTTTCGGCATCAGCGGCGTGCAGGGCTCCAGCAGCGTTCCGGGGCCTTTCCAGGGCCAGGAGCTCGCGCACATGCAGGGAGTCTTGCAGGACCTTCTCGATGATATGAGTGCGGAAGGCCGGTTGAGCGGAAGTGTGTCTGTGGAGAACGTGGCGGCGGAGTCTGCCATCCGCGCCAGGCACTTGCAGTTTTGCCATTACTTCCTGGGAGAATTCTTCGACAAAATTGCAGGCGTCCGGGCCGACTGCCGGGTCGTCGACGTCAGGCGGGGGCTTCGATTCCCCCCATGGCATGTGGAATTTCCGCCATGCGGAGGCCGTGCTGTGCGACATCATGTCGGAGCCGCGCGCCAGGGCCTTCATGAGGGTTGCCTGTCCTCGGCCTGCGCCGGCGGCCGCCAGTTTCCGGGGGCTCGTGGGTCTCGCGCGGGCCCCCGTTGACAGCAGGAAGCGCACTTGTGCCTCGAGCGGCCCGGCCCAGAGTCGTGTCCGGGCTGCTGCGGGCGCCTCTGCCGTCGACCGACGGCCCGTCGAGGCACAGGCAGATGGCAATGCCACGATTGCATTCGAGTTCCTCCGGCGCGGTGCAGGCGCGAGCGCAGCTGGGATCGCCGGGCAGTTTGCAGAGGGCGAGGTACCCGGGAAGGATGACGTCATCCGCGCGCTCCTACTCTTGGGCACTCCGCCCGGAGAGCTCATCGGCGCCCGGGGTGGAACTCTCCGGGAGCTGCAGGGCCTCCTCGCAGAGCGAGCCGCCGAGTGGCACGAGGCGTGCAGACAGGCCCCGTCCTTGTTTGGTCGTTGGCGCAGCCTCCCCTCGCCCAGGACTCACCCTGGAGATTGGGAGAACGACCTCTTCGGTCCTGGGGGCAATTCAACTGCTGTGTCGTGGCGCGACCCTGCTGGGGGGCAGACGGCCCCCCTTTCCAAGGATGACTTCAGGCGAATCCTCGTGCGCGCTGGCGTGCACGGCTGTTACGCGGCTGCGATGGCGAGCGTGTCGGGCCGGGTCGCCCTGCGACGGGCCTTGATGCTGGCCGCTGTGCTGAGCTGTGTGGACGCACTCGGTTGCCGTATCTTGCTGTTCCACATCGCCGCAGTCCTGCTGTTGCCGTGGGAGCGCTTCCACGGCGGCGACTACTGGGACGTGGTGGAGAACGTGCTGGTCGACCGTCGTCGACCAGACCGGGGCAGGCAGCCGCAGCATCAGGCGCCCCGGACTCTCACCATCCGCGTGGCCCAGTGGCTCCACCACAGCCACGTGCACGCAGGTCACGCGCCTCGCGAAGCGTGGGAGGACCTCCGCCGCAGCATGCTCAAGTATCAACAGAAAGGTAAAGTGAAGGCCCCCCGCCGCTAGCCCCGCGCATATTCTTCGGAACCTTTGCAGACACTTTCACAGTGCTTTCACAGTGCGCGTCGCATGTCTCACCTGAGGTCCATCTCTCTATCCTGCATGTCTCACCTGATGTGTTTTTGCGCTGCGCACTCCTTGCGTGTTTTGATTCAAGCGCCTTTCAACGGAAAAGCATGCTCCATCCTGTCCTCATGCATCCCCGCGCCTACGTTCACTCTTCCCCCCCAGTCGACCACGTGGATTCCTCGTGCTCCAGATCATTGCACATCGCCGTGGATGTCCAGACCCGCGTTGGCTCGTTGTGGCCGCCTTGTCCCACTTCTTGACGCTTCGCGTAACCTTGCCAGCCCATTCGGAAGCCCTGCCCATGAGAGCTGACGGGACATGGCAAGAAGGGACACATACATTGGCTTTCGTTGTGCCATGTCGTTCCTAGTATAGTGTGCCTGCGTGATAGACTGCATCAGTCATCGCCTTTTCCCGCGTCGCCTATCCATATCATCGTCGAGTAACCGCGTCGTGGCACCTGCGCTTGTCGAACTCTGAGCAAGCCCATTCATTGTTTGCACGAGAAAAAAGGTGCTTGCTGAGGCGCCGTCTTGGGAGCTTCTTGGGGCCCTTTTGGGGCCTGGGCAGTCTCGGGGGCCTCTCGGGGCTCTCTGGGACGCGTCTTGGGGCCTTCTTGGTTCGTCTTGTTGCGGGGCTGAATCAGATCTTGAGCTCCAGCTGATCGAGCGCCCCGCGCGGGTGGGCGGCAACCAGCTCGAGCTTTGCTATCGGGCAGCCACAGATTAAGATCCAGATCGGTTCGGTCACGTTTTCTTCTGCCAAGAACGACCTGAGACACAATGCCATAGAGCACGGGGGAATTCAACGCGGCATGGCGTGTCCCTTTGCCCGTCTCCTGGCACGTTCTTTACGACGCGGTCCCACTCGCAGTGATGCCCCTGACCGTTGGCTCGCCACGGTCGTGGCGGCAGTGCTGGTAATCTGCTCTGCTGCCAAGCGCTACGCCGCCGCGATTTCGCTTCGATCGTTCCAGCAGCCCGATGAAAAACGATTGGTATCTGGAGGCGTATCTGGAAGCGTATCTGGGCGTATCTGGGCGTATTTGGGATTTCGGGTGCTGAATGTATCTGGGAATGCCGTTTGTGAGGGATGTCTCAGAAATTTGGCGTATCTTTGGGCCACTGGTGAGGCGTACCTTGGGCGTATCTTGAGCGTATCTTGAACGTATCTGGGTCTCGCCGCGGTCGTGGCGGCAGTGCTGATAATCTGGTCTGCTGCCAAGCGCTACAGCCCGATGACAAAAAGATGGGTATCTGGAGGCGTATCTGGAAGCGTATCTGGGCGTATCTGGGCGTGTCTGGGTTTTCGGGTGCTGAGAGTATCTGGGAGTGCCGTTTGTGAGGCATGTCTCAGGTATCTGGCGTATTTTTGGGCCACTGGTGAGGCGTACCTTGGGCGTATCTTGAGCGTATCTTGAACGTATCTGGGTGTATCTTGTTTGCTGTTGTTGTTTGTGCTCATTTGGAACGTGTTGGAGCCCTATTCGAGCTCATTTGGAACCTCTTGGGGCCCTCTTGGGGTTCTTTTGGGGGAGGGGGGTCTTGGGGCCCTCTTGGGGCCTTCTGGGGGCTGTTTCGGGGGCTTCTTGGGAGCCCTGGAGGGCCTCTCGGGGCTGTCGTGGAGGGTGTCGGTGACAGGAAAATAGGTTGCATTGCCGTGGATATCCAGAGCCGCGTTCGCTCGTTGTGGCCGCCTGGCCCCCATTTCTGCGATTCGCCCCTCGCGCGCACCCTGGGTGTACCGGGCGACGCGGGGATGAGCGAGGGAGCGGCCCCTTCGGGAAGCGCTTATCTCTCGGCGGAGGAGGTGCCCTTGACCGGCGCCTCGGCGGCGCCTTGGCCCAGTGCTCGTGGCCCGCCGGCGCTGCGGCCGCCGCAGCCTGAGGAGTACATGCTGGACGTTTTGCCTCCCTCTGTTTCCGAGCTCCTGAGTTCGCTGGGGTCGTCCATCCGCCACGTGTCGCGCCGCGCTGGGCACCGCCAGGGCCCCGCGCTCGAGGAGCGCGCGCTGCGCCGAGCGTGCGAAGACTTGATGCAGTACTTCGGCAATGATGAGGTGCCCCTCGAGCTCGGCGCGGCTCGAAAAGCACGGATGGATTACGTCCTCTGGCTCATCGGCCGCTCCTTCGCATCTTACATGGGTTACCGCGTGGGCTTCCGGAAAGGCGGAGCGGCAGACGACGGCGCCCGCTTCTCCCTGGCAGTGTTCGACGAGAGTGGCGATTCCCGTGCCTTCAGCAACCTGCCGCTCGACAAGAGTTGGGCCGTGGGTCGAGATGGCATGGGCCACTTGGTAGATATCCCTGGATCCACCACGTCGCGCATGCACGTGGTGATGCTACCCGACCGTGCAGAGGATCAGTACATCATTGTGGATTTCGGCTCCCTGCTCGGGTTCACGGTGCTGGCGCGCGTTGGGGGCAATGGGTACGAGGCGGCGACAGACGTGAGCAGCCGACCGGGGAGACGGCGCCCTGCGCTCATTGGTGCCAGGGAGAGCACGTTGGTGGACTTCATGAATGGCGTGTTCGTGCTCTTCAACCCGCCTCCATGCATGGCGTGCGGGGCATTTCCTCAGGCGGTCTGCGGCGAGTGCCAGCACCCGTGCCTGTGCCGCCAATGCTTCCAGCGGGGCGCCTCCGGCTTCCGGTGTTCTTGGTGCGCTGCGTTGGCTCGGGCGCCCGGAGATGCGCTCCCCAGAGATGGCGCATCATCGTGATCGAGCCCTCCTCGCGCCGCTCCCGGCCTACGCCACGCGCGGCGCGGCGGGGCGCCCGCGCCATCCGCGGGCACGCCGCGCCGGGCCGGGCGGCCCCCGGCGCGTATCTGAGCCAGGATCGCGCGCGCCAGGCCTGCGCCGCCTTTAGCAATGCGTTTCACCGTTTCACCTGGCAGATCCCGGGGCCTCCTTGCAGATACAGGTTGGGAATTCGGGGATCGCGGCGCGGCGTCGAAGGTATCCCTTGCAACCCAGCCGGGCCTCGGACCAGCTCTGGTCCCGGCGTCAGTTCCCCCAAACGCGGCTCTGGTCAGTGGCGGCTGGGCGGAAACGTTCCATCGTCAGTTCCCCCTCTTTACCTCCGCCATCGCTTTCAGGCGTCCCG